ACAACTCAAACTTTTTTTTAGTGAAGCAGCATCTTGCGAAATGATTTTTTCCACCACACTTGTGACAGTCTTTACCATAAGCCGGAAATTTCTGTGGTGCATGGTTTGTACCACATCGGTTACAGTCCTTGTTGTTCTTTTGTCTTGGTTTGCGGTGCTTTTCTTTAACAGTTTTCTTTGTGCGTTTGCGCACGACATCCATTGCTGCTGCAGGCTTGCTTTCTGCATCGAAGGATTTAAGTTGTACGTTCGCTCTCTCTGATGCTTGGCAGATGCTAATTGCTTTATCCAAAGTCAATTCAGTTTCCCCGAGTAACTGTCGTCTTAGTTTCTTATCCAGGTGCCAATGACTATTTGATCCCTGATCATCGAATCAGACAAACTCTCAAAGTTGCACGATTGGCTTTTCAGATGTAAATCTGTCACGTATTGTTCAATAGTCTCTCCTTTCTGCATCCGATTACAAAAAACATAGCGTTCATGTTTAGTTTTTCTTTGGTGTACAATAGTCTTCAAACTTTGCCATAATAACATCGTACTTATCTTGCTCTTCCTCAGAGAACTGGAACGTGTTGAAGTCATCTATCGCAGATCGGCCCGCCACCGTGAGAAGCAGCACAATCTTCCGGCAGTCATTATCCCTCTCCAGCCCCGTCGCTAACAGGTATAGCTCGAAGCTCTGCTTGAAGGATTTCCAAATAGCGTGGACATTTCCACTCAAATTCAGCTTGTTTGGCTGTCGGATGCTATTTACACTCATTTTGTAAACTTTTTATCTATTTCTCCTGGTACCATGTTTCATTTATCTTTTACACAGATCATCGACCCAGGAACACCGTTTCACATGCTATCAGCATAGTTTTTATTTGCGTGCAAAATTGCCTTGCATTACTCAAAACATTAGTGCCCCCTAGTGGCACTCATCAGTACAGGCACCATGCTTTACTGTTTAAGATACAAGTACCTTGTACATGTGGGTTTTGAGTCAAGTAGATGAGCCCCCATCTGATGGTGGTCGCTGTGGTGTCGGTTCCAGCCAGAAACAGGTCAGCTACTGACATAACCATGTTATCCTCATGAAACGTTGAGTCCTCGTTGGACTTTTGCTACTCCAAGGCAAACAGAAAGCATTTCAGTTTATCCAAGCATATTTAGTTCCCTAGCAGCTTACCATGATTTCACCGCTAGAATATTGTTAGTCCTAAAACAAAAACTCCTCAACCACTCAGGGTTAGGATTGGGAATGAAGCTCCCACTAACTACCATCAAAGAGTGGATTATGAATGTTTTCATAGTGGTTGTTCATGATTATCTCACTTTCTCGATCTCTAGCAGGTAGGCATCAATGAAGTCCCATGGACTGTCTGCATCCAGATTTTCTCTGTGCATTTTGACTGCTTCCCTGATGAAATCTTTCAACTCTTCTGCATTCTGATACATTTTCTGGTGTGGCCCTGGGAAATGTTTGATGATGGGAAGCAAGTTAAACACCTGGAAAAGAAAAAGGCTTTGCATAACTATGCTGCATCAACGGCAGGAGTCTCCAGTCCTGCTACTGGAGCACCACCTTCCGGCAGTTTTATGTTGCAACCTGTTCCTAAACACCTGCTTAGTTTCTAATAATCCTAAAGACCTTGATTAGTTTTTTTAAGTGAGGTTAAAAGGAGTTTGAGCTAAACTCTGCAAGTAGTTGGACCTCCAGAAGCAGGACTGGACATCCCTAGTCAAGTAGTTTCTATTGTTACCTACAGCTTTATTGGACCATCCATCACATATTCCTTGGTGGTTTTGACAAACAAATACAAGAAGAGTTAAGAGAAGTTGAGGACTTGACATAGCATGAGTGACCTGTGGTAAAGTTTGGTAGAGTTTAACAATGCAATGCGTTGACGACCTATGGGAACGCACACAATGAAACAAGATCCACCTCCTGATCCATCTGGATAACAGGACATAGCAAAGCTAGGGACTTGTTCATACCTGTGCAACAAGGGATCCTGACTGAATGATATTCTCCTTCAAGATTTCCAGAAGGTATGCGAAGCGCTTGTTATCATAGTCGAAACGATCCCCAAACACAATGGAACAGATAATATTGGATATGGCATTCTGTATTGCATGTTGGAGGTCAAACGGCTCGCCTTCAAGAAAGAAAACCATGTGTTAGTCTCTGGCAAGGCGCGTTTTAATACTTTAAAGAGAATCTTGCCAAGTAAATTCATTTAAAAAACTATAACATCAAATCTGGTTTAATGACACTTGAAGCTAACCTAAATACTGAGGCTTGTGACCACCCCAGCAACAAGAACAAATAAATGTACTTGAAATGTTTTGTCCAATCATTACGTCCACATGCTTGCGTGAAGTAGCATGTTTAAAGTTTGTTTCTAACTCTGACTCAACAGGACGAGACGGCACATGATTGAGACTACAGCACCTCTGAACATGGAAAAAGTTCAAACAGAGGCTAAAATACTCAATAACCTTCCAATTTGAGCATTTCAGGAACCAGGTAACTGCTTTCCTCTGTCACACGTTCCTCCACAGACTTCTTCCCCAGGCCAAAGTTCCTGAGCGTGTGCAGAGCAAACCGTCTCTGCTGCTTCCAGGAGTGGCCATATGTGGCCATTACGATACCTTACAGAGAGAGAACAGACCTTCAGAGATACTTGAAAATACACAGACAAGTTGAACAAAGAAAGACGATTAAACAACTTAGATTCACAGGTCTACCAGCCTAAAATCGTGACCAAGATGGTCTAAAAAGTTGACCTTGGCATCATTGGCTGGCAGAAGCCCACAGACAAGCAAATCACTTGAGGCCCAGATCCAGCTACAAAAATCCATGTAAGAAGCTGGTTTTAAGCTGGTTTTAGCTTCATTTTCCAGCAAGGTCTCTATTATAACGCCATAGTACAAACTTTATAATGAAGAGCCATTGGTTACGGCACCTATTGACACTATTTAAATTATAACTTTTTCAATTTTCAATTTAAATGTGCAGTATGTAATATTGACAGCTAGCAGTTGAAATGGACAATGCAGTCCAAATTCAAAATACTGTTTTTCCCACCCCCGCCTCCTAAGACTCAACGGTCATGTGGGTTGCCAGATTGAGGACAAAGGTCCTTTAATGTGCCTCTGGTCATAAGAGCTTTTTAGATGGATGCTGAGGGTTTTAAGTCGAGTAGAATCTGCGATCTCTGACCCAGTTTGTTTCATTTGCTGGCTTCCATATGCTATTTTTTTCTGCCAACTGGCAACCCGGGGTGTTAAAATACTATTGGGAAAATTGGCAATGGGCTTAATCACAGACTAAAACAAAACAGACATTCCGACATGGAACTAGCTGTAGCATTTTTCGAAGAAACCGGTATGTGAATTTAGCATGTTTTCTCAATAGCTACATATAACATTATTTTTATGCTTTAGTACAGTCAAAACAAATTACATACAGCACTTTTAAAATTTGTATGTTCAAGTATCCTACAACACCAACATTTTCAAATGCACTGCCAGTACAGTGTATTACTGACCATATCCTTCAGTGATCCAGATTAGCAGTGGAATAGGTGGCCTTCCTGAAAAAGATGAAGCATTTTGGACCAGGGCTTCCTTCATGACCTCGATTGTATTGAAGAATATTGCTGGCTTTCTCCCAAGATAGACAGTGGTCATCTCTCCATACTGAGATAACTGCTCAGAGAAGATTTCACAGCATTTAAATACAACTAAGGTGGCTTAGTCTCACCTGTGAATGAAGTCAACATAGCACGTCCATTTGACAGAGTAAGATGAACATAAGACACCTTTCCACAAAAACAAAGCCCCTATACAACAAGTTCAAAGAAAGACTTACTGATCTTATGAACTCCATTGGGTTCTTTAAAAAATATGGTATGGTTCCCACAAAAGGCAGCGGTCTGGGACCAGGTGGAGTTTGAGTTCTGTAGGAATTAATCCTCAAGATTTCAAACAGAACTATAAAAATAAAACTCAGAGACAGAGCCATGCCTACAGAGGCCAGATCTAGTTTCATGAGAGTCGTCCACATGCTGATAGACACATTTCAAGACAAACACAAGAGCAGCTGATGACCGTGTGCTTTATAAAAACAGGGCAAAGGGGGAGGACACAGTGGGAGTGGGAGTTTGACGTGCCTGTTCATGTTTTTGTATAGTTATGCTAGTTATTCCTGCTAAGGTTCTGACCAATCAAGACAAAGCACAAAAACCATACTCCACTCCTGCACAACACTCATTTTCCTTTTATAAACACACTAGCATGAGTAAATGGACCTAAGCAAAGTCCACTCACTGCAAAGAGGAATAAACATGCTGCAGAAGACAAGTTGTGCAAGTTTAATAAATAACTGACAAGTTCAAAGCTCTCTACTACCATGTTCATTGTTGACACTAAATCTCAGCACAGCCAATGGATGGATATTCTACACCCTAATCTTGTCTTTATTAATGAAACTATTCAAGAGGTCTGGAAAGGGTTGTAAAAGTGACATGTAAAAGGCATTGAAAATGCTTTTAGCTCAGATTGTTGCAGTCATGCGATACCTGACATTTGAAAACAATAAAAAAAATATAAAAAGGCATTTAAAAAGATATATAAAAGGCAACACATAAGCATGTTGGGTTTGCTTTTTCTTTATTTTTTTGGTCTTTTCTTAATTTTTTTCTGCTCTTTTTTTGTCTGTTTTCTTGGTTTGCTATAGGGAAGTTTTTGGCACTACATAATTGTCTTATTGGGTTGTTATGTTTGATTTTCCTATCTAAAGCCTTTGTCCTTATGCAAGCAAAATAGGAATACAGCTAATAAAAATAAAGTAAATACATTTTAAATCCTTATTTTACACATAAAATAAAAACACTTTTTTATACCCCTCCAAAAATAGGGGCATTAAAATATTTGACATTTTGTATCACAAATCAATGTGATGATACACACAGAAATAAAAGGAAAATAAAACATAAAAACTACAAAAATGATAAAATTCATTTTAAAAAGTTCCCAAATGATGCAAAGTTAGTCTCTTTTTTTCTATAAGGACCTTGGGCATTGGTTTACAAAGTGTCTTTCTTCATTTCTTCTGTTGAATGTAGTTGAGATTGCCGTGCCGACCGTGTTGAATCAGCGGGTAATGTTGATTTGTCACCACAGAACCTGCAAGAGAGGCAAAAAAAGGCTGTTGTGAGTGGAAATGTTTCCTGATTTATCAGTGTGCGCATTTGTGGCCTGTAAAAACCATAGAGAGGAATATTCAGAGTGTTAATGTCTATGGAAAACATGTTGCATGCATAAAATAGTTCTTTTAATAGTTCAAATAGTTATAGTTCAAATTATTTTGCATTCTGACATTAAGACAATTAAGCATGGATTCCCCTAAAAAAAAAAGTAATAAAATAACATGTTGGTTTGCCTTTTCTTTTTTTTTAAAGTGTTTTCGTGATTTTTTTTTTGTGCTCTTTTTTTTGGTCTGATGTCTTGGTTTGCTGTAGGAAATGTTTTTGACACCACATAACGGACTTGCTGGTTTTGATTTTGCTATTTTGAAAAACATAAATAAAAATAAATAAAATTAAATAAAATAAGGCTTCATTTTACTTTTTGGGGGGTATTTGGGTATTCATTTTTAGGTTCTTTTGGGTATGATTTTCCTATCTAAAGCCTTTCTCCTTAAGAAAGCAAAATAGCATGCATGAATAAATAAATACATACATAGAGCTGCCCCCTAATAGTCGACTAATCGTTAGTCGACCAAAATTGTATTAGTTGCAGAATTGTAATTTTTTTTTTTTTAATTCCACAGGCGAAGTCACGCAGTCCGTGACGGACAGATCGTTAATGGCTGGTCTATGTGGTAATACAGTAGGCCTACATTGGGCAGGACATCCAAACGCTCACCTATCATTCATCGACCTCAAATATGGCTTATCATCTGAAATATGTAAGTATTAGCAACTTTACATGGCCGCTCAATCTAATGTTAACCAAGAGAGATGTGCGCTATTCAGTGTGTGCGGAGTGGAGCTGAACAGCAGCGCGCGCTCACTGCAGGACAGATGGAGGCGCCGGTGCGCTCACTTGCTCTTAAAATACTGGTCATTTTTGCTCATACAGATAAGTGTAATACATCTTTCAAATCTGTAAAGACTCTACGTTTATTTGTGTGCACTCACAATAAAAACAAATCGCGCTTTTGTGAAATAATGAAAGCAAACAGGATGCGCTTTCTGCCGTCTCGGTCTCTGTGAACTTGAGCGCGAAACACCATGTATATCTTTACCTTACGGACATGAAAAATATATCTATAGAGAGTGAAATGTCTACTTTCAAATGAACCAATTCAAATGGAAAACAAATATTCTCAGATTATGTAATCCGTATGAAACATGCATACAGGCGCAGCAGTACTGCGGAGATGATGAGTCTGTGTCATCGACTTCATCTCTTAAACCGAAAACAAAGAAAGCACTAGTTTATAAAATTATTAAAATTTTAATGCAGTCTCCTTACTGTTTTTCACTGACACATTCATAACCATTACTTCTGCCGGTGCGCTGTAGCAAGCTTTATGTGTGCGCTTGAGCGCATATTAGGCTACGTAGGCAATTAAAGGCTCATAATAATGATTTAAATGGTTTATTAATAAACGTGCGATTAGTCGACTAATGCTTAAAATGAACGACTACTAGTCGACCAGAAAAATCCTTAGTCGAGGGCAGCCCTATAAAAACATAAAATTAAATAAATTACATCATGTTGGTTTTACTTTTTTTGTCTTTTCTTGATTTTTACTGCTATAGGAAATGTTTTTGCCACTACATAATTGACTTATTGGGTTTGAACTGACTTAAAAGCCATTGTCCTTAAAGTAAAAATAGCAAAAAGATCAAATAAAATAAATAAATGCAATAAAATGAAATAAAATAAAAACTTATTTTATTGTTGAGATTAAATGAAAATTCCATTGTTACTTTCCACTTCAAATACATATATAAATTCACAAGGTTTGAATGTTTTAGTGTCAACATGTAAGAGAGACAAAGCAGCACTGGTACCTTGTGAGATGAAGGGTTTGTTGGGCTGCTGCAGGTAGGGTGGCAGACGGTAGGGCATGAAGGATGGAGACAGCGAATACGGAGCAGCACTGCTGTGATCCCAGGACCGAGAGCCCTGACTCACACCGCCAAACTGAGATGGGAAATTAGGATCTGAGATATAGAGAGAGAACAGTGAACACACAGCTCTGAACTAACAGACAGCAAAATAAACAATTTTCAAACTGTCACACAACCATTATGAAACCACAAGCTTTCAGGTCACTAGGGCTGTCAAATTTTTTTTTCGAATTTCGAATATTCGTCGAATTTGAATTTTAGGTGTGTGTCATGCAGCCTTATCAGTGGCACACAAGATGTGATGACGATGTAGGTGTCATTGTATTCTAATGCTTTTTTAGCCTATCCAGTTGAACCCACTGGATGCGGCACACTGCTATGTTGTTCATTCAAAATATTGCGGAAAAAGAGAACATCAATGCAGAGATGATGTTGTTTATGTCAAAACTGAAACCAAGCCGTTCACACAGAAGCATATTTATCACATTTTCTAGAGGGACATCTATCACTGTTGCACTCGCGTGACGTCTCGCACAAGAGAGCCGCATGTTTACAAAGCATGCAAAATTTATGTAAGTTCAACTTTTAAAAAACATGTCTCAAGACTTTATGGTGGTTTTTCCCCATCCCACAGCATCTCATGTTTTTAAATAAAAAAAAAAGTTCTCATTGTGATTGGTTTCGGCCCTTTGTATTAAATTATAATTACATAAATGATGCTGTTTTGTTTCTAATTGTTTAAGCAACTTAATTATATATGGTTTATAAAAATTAATGTAATCATTATGCACTTTTTTTCCCCAAAGATAGTCGTGTTATTTTATTGCTTTGAAGAAACGTGCAATAGTCATATTTTGCTCGATGCGCCCTCTTGTGGCCTCAGGAGAGAAATGAAATAAAAACTGAAATTATGCCTTTCAAAATTCGCATATAATTCGAATATTGATAATATTTAAGTACAACATTTGAATTGTGTTTTTCAGCCATTTTGACTGTGATTTCAAAGGGTTACAGGTGAAACAGCTCTAACCAAGGACAAGCCTAGTCTAGTAAAACCAGTTCCCAGTGTTTAGTCTAACAGCTGTGGAGTCACCCGGTGAACCCAAAACACCTGTGACACTTACCTGAGCTCTCAAACAGGCACTGCACTGACTTCATTCATCTCTGAACACAACCATATATTTAGCAGCAAATAATGTTGAGCTGGATCTTATTCATCAGGATTTGATTGGATAGAAATACTTAATGCTACTTCACTACTGGTTAATATTATTTTCCATACCCAAATAGCCTTGGTTACATGAGCGCCAAAAAAAAAAAATGTATTAATTTAAATTTTTTACAATTTTCTAATTAATTTTATTTATACATTTTTTTTACATTTTGGCATTTGCCCCCAATAGCTCAAATTAATTAGTAATAACCAAACAGTATTTTTCTTAAAGCAAAATCTAATTTCATATTAGAAAAGCAAAATGTAAAAAAGGGTCCTGAACCTTACAAATGTACTAATTATTACAAGTTACCAAAATATAAAATTTCTTTTGCATTACAGTAACAGTTGCAATTTCATTTATTTATTGCATTTTCTTAATGCAAAATACAACTTCTTGTTTGTTGTCCTTTTGATTTTGAGGATAAAATATTAAAATATTATCCTGACTAAATGTTTTTTTAAAGAATAATCTGTACTGACTGTGCAAAATAAAAGACATTTGCTAATATTATCAGTTTTAATTTGTCGGTTATGTTTATTTATTAAAACGTAATTACTAAAATAACTAGATTACTTATTCATTATTTAATAATTATATTTAATAATAATAATAATAATAATACATTTTTCCATAACAGCATTAAAAAATAGACAATTTTATAACGTGGCATTTACTTCGATTTTTTTTTTTTTTTTTTTTT